AAATCAATGTGATAAACAAGTTTAATCAAAAGTAATCTGATTATACTACCTAAAATGTGTAATGTAACGGATTACGTTAGACTACAATTTTTTGTCATGTAATCTGGAATCAGTAACAGATTACAATTTGTAAGTAATCTATCCAGCGCTGCCAGTCTGTGATTTTATTAGTCTTTATCATCTTTATTATCATTTTAATTTTTAATATAGAGATTTAATCTATATTCATTATATCAGTGCTTAACAAATTTATTAAAACAAATTTATGTAAGGTTTTTAACAAATTATGTAAGTAAACAGTATTGGTGATTACCAAAATAATTTTTTAGCTTTCTGTATTGGTTAGTCCTCCAATTTGTGTAAGCTCTTTAGTAACAGTAGTAGGCTATTTCTAATGTTATAATATAATTATTGCTGTTATCTATGAAAGAAGGGCAGAAAAATTAGTCAAGCGCTTTATAGTGTTTTTTTCCCAGATGCACAATAACAGTCAAAACGTACCTAAACAATGCCAGCAAGAATGCAAGCTGTTATGAAAGGCATAGGAGGCCATTTTTGTTATTATGTGAATAAAGACTTTATTTGTTTCAGTTTGTTATTTGCCCAGTAAATGGCAATAACATCTGTTAAGCATTGTATGTTTTCATAGCATTCAGTTGGCACGTTTGTTTGATGGACATCGGGCAGAATGTGGAAGTGTTTTTTTGTCAATTAAAAAAAAAGAAAATTGGGCTTTTTTTATCCGATTAATTGAAAAAATAATCGGCCAACTAATCGATTATCAAAATCGAGAATATTAATGGCCTATCTGTGGTTTCATAGGTGGGAGACCAGTCAAGGATAAACAGCCACACTGTTGACCAAACCTCAATAGACCCAGGACAGACCCATGCGGACACAGACGAGGCCCCCTCTCACATGTCTACCTCAGACTCGGAGGTAGTTTTTTTTCACCAGTGGCAGCCTGCATAAACATATCTGTGCAGGGTTTTTTTCCTACATTTTTACTTACCTGGGTTAATAAAAAATCCCGTATTAGAACCAAATAGTAGTAATCCTACATTTTAA